TTTTGGCTCTTTCTGGAATCTGGGAATATCAATGAGTTAAAGACAGCAGTCCGTAATTTTGAAACCCATTATATGCAATTAACCTTTCTGTCTGAGACTTGAATCTCTCCTGGCCTTGTAAGCTGCAAAGTCAAGAAGGGAGGAAGATACTGGAGTTGCGGTATGGCTGCGTTAGCGTGGAAGTTTATGTTTTGGTCAACTAGCCTGGCTAGAGGAAAAAATACTATTGAATTAATGGAACACAGGGAAGTGTTTTAGATGCTGAATGTGATTCAAAAAGTAGTAAATGTGGTGGGATGCACTACCATGATTTTTTTTGGACATCTCAGATGGTATTTGCAGTTGCTGTGTTTGAAGCAAAGTGGAAGAGTGGCTGGTAGAGGGGAGCTGTGTACTTCAACCCTCCTTTTACAAAGACACTGGCAAAATTAAAGCCTTAACTAACGAAGGAATGATTTGTCATTTAGTGCTGGATGTGAGGTTGCAGCCCGAAGCCCATGCCAGGCATACAACTAGGCTCAGGGCTGTTTCTTTCACTGCGGTGCAGTTGCTGTAAGTGATGTGGCTCATGTCGGAGAGTGGTCTCCGGTGTCGGCTGCGCTTAACAACGTGGCTCGTGCATGCTGGAAGAAAGCACATTTTTGGCCGCCTTAAGTGTTGCCTGTCTCTTAGTGCAAATGTTTTGTAAAAGTTAGGATTGTAGGTATTGCACCTGTGGTTCAGTTACTGCAAAGGTAATTGTTCAGTCACTTCTTGTTTAGGAAAATTCTCAATATCCTTCAGTAGTGATTATACATGCACATGGGTTTGGGTTTTTTTAAACTTTTTTTTTTTTTTAATACATATATATGTATATGCACACCCATGAGCTATAATTTTTAAAGGGCTCTCTTTTCCTTCCAGTAAAAACAGCACGTGGTTTTCTGCGCTACCTTTACTCCCCAAGTTCATTATGGTTTTTGCTCAGGGTGGGGCAGGCAAGCAACCTGAAGCAGCCTTGGAACACGCTGGCCGGCTGCCATGCAGCTGGGTAATCCCTGCAGATACTTTCTTCCCAAGCTTTTAAGGCTGTGGAAGACAAATCTGTAGGGTTAAGATAGCAAAGTATTCCATTTAAGAGTGTAATTAAGAATAGTTTGCATGTAGCGCGTAGGCCATAAACCCCACAATTAGAGTACTCTTAAAGTTTTAAGAAGCCAATAAAATGAGGGGAACTAAGGCTACTGTGGGGTTTTTTTTAGCGGTTTCATTTTTAACTATGTGAAGGGCTCACGTTATCTAATCTCAGCAGCAATCAGTATCTCATTAATGGGAACAGACTGAGTATTTTCACATACCTAATTAACCATTTCTTCTGGAATAGTCAGATTGCACAGTTGCCGTGATAAAAGTGCAGGTGAATGACTTGAACATGGTTGTTTCTCTGCTTCGGTGCACCAAGGCTTCAGCAGTGACATGCACATGGGATTTGCAGATCGCTCCTGAGGATTTTGAATTCTTGCAACCAGCCAGAGCCTTGGTGCAGTCGTGTAAAATTAAATAGCAAAGAAAATAAACAGCTTTTACACTAAGGAAGCAAGGTCCTTATATGGACCTGGAATATTTGAGTACTTCCCAAGTATTTATCAACACTGGCATGAGGGAAAGAAGCATTGCCTATTCTAGGCTTGTGAATTGAAACAGCAGGCAAGATTTTGAAATAGAAAATTGAAGGAAGCGATGTGTAGCCTTGAAAATTCAACGTACAGCTTCTGAGTCCTAGTCCAGTGACTAAACCAAAATGTCAAGCCCTAAGAAGCCTTAATCATCTTCTTTCCTTATTTCTTTTCTTTCTTTTTCCTAACTCCCTTGGCATAGGTTGCACATTGGGAAACCTGTGCTTGTGGCTCCAGCCCGGTGGGAGTGAGGATGGGGCTCTCCAGGGAGTGCAGCGTCACCAGTGACTTTTGATCGTGCAGGGCAGTGTGCCCAGGGATTACATTAATGGAGCCAGAGCTCTGCTTACCTTGCCAAAGGTGAACCCTTCTGCTGGACAAGGTCCTTTCCTAACAGAGGAGCAGAGAGGTGGTCTTGCTGTGGTAGGGGGATGGAAACTAGGTTTTCTGGCTTGGTATATTCGAGGAGGTAGCTCTTCAAGATGGGAGAAATGCAGTTTATATGGTGTTCTCTTGGCATGTAGGTGAAATCAGTGGCCTTGGTGGCAGAGCTTGTAAGAGCCATAGGTCATGGTATCGGTTGTGGATATGAAGGTGAAAACCATATGGCTCTATGCCCCACCAGATTGTGATTATAATGGGCAGGGACAGTAGTCAGGGGAACTAAATTTAATATGTAGGCCTCCACCGGTATTCAAACGTAATTATAAGCCTATAGAAATCACTGAGAGGTGATAGAAATGAATAATTGGTAGAAATCACAAAGTACTGAGTAGCTGATGCTTGCCTCTTCCCCACCCCCCCCACCCCCTTCCCCCGAAGATGACAGTATTTTTGGGACAGCCGAAGGCTCTGGCTGCTGCCATAAAAGTGAATGGTATAACCCACAGGAGGCTATATTGCCAGTGGCAGTTTTCAAGTGTGGAAGGACCAGCAGTAGTTTGTGTGGATGGCTTCTGCGGGACGATGGGAAGGAAGGTCCTATTGACTGGCTCTGACTTTGGAAGAGAGCTTGACATTTAATGGGAGTTCCCCAGAAGTGAGAAGAGTTTAAAATACATCTGGAAATGATCCTTGAGGAGCAGCAGAACTATACAGAAACATGTAGTTGGCTTTCTTTTTTCTTTATCTGTTAATTGCTTATCCATATAGACCATATAGAAAAGGTACAGAGAAGAAAACTAAAATTGTCTTGGATGGAAGCAGCTCAGTTTTTGCACAGTAGGAAGTTAGCTGAAGTATTTTGCTTAATTCTGAGCATCAGGAAACCAAAAGATTAAAGTTGCCACTGGTAAAATCTAGAAATGGTTTTTCATTAGAAAATAAAAAGGTAACAGGATCTGTTTATAGGTATGTTTGCCCTGTTTCCTGTGCCAAGATGCTGCTTTAAGGACTCAAGAGCAAAAATATTCTTAAAAATGTTTTTTCTCAGTTCTGTGAATGCCTTGCATGTCTTAGCGATGGTATGGGCCATGTATCTGAGTGTGCTGAAAGGCTTTTTATCAGCCCATGCAGAGTCCTCAAAGCAATAGGGAATGAACCTTAAGCATCTTTATACTGCCTTCATCATGTAAGTCCTGTGAGAAAGTTGATGTATCCATAAAAAAAAAAGTCAGCAAAGGGAAAATCGCAGCGTGTGTTTTGCAAGATCTGTCTAGCTGCAGCAGAGATTAGCTGGTCCCAGGTACCTCTGCCCAGAAGGTGCTCCCTGCCTCCCTTGGTCTTTCATCAAAACTGCCTTCAAGTAGGATCCAGTAGGCTGCTTGCTTAGATATTAAATAAAATGCAGTCGTATTAGAGAAGGGGGAACTTGGACTTCAAGTATTAGCACTCGGATTACAAAAGTGATGCGAAAATAATGTCTGAAAACAAGAGGCAGTTTTACGTGGTGCAGGATGAAGAAAGCTAACGCTCTTCGTCAGCATGGATAGAAGGGGCCCGTTCTCTTGTCATGTTATACAGGATGGTTGGAAAATGTCCAGGTACCGAGCCTTCCTCAAGGAGGAACTTCTCTCCCTAAAGGATGATACCTGTCATTTTGAAAGGTCTCCTCTTGGAGCCTTCTCTGGGTTGAGTGTCCTCTTCCTGGTGAGCTCACCTGGTGGTCCGGAGATGGACAATTCCTGGGCAATTTTCTTTGTGTGTCCTTTTTTTAGCCCCTGTTGGTATTCCCAGGTTTGAGTGCCCTGTGGCACCTTTGTGGGCGCTGGCGGGTGTCTCGGCAGCTCTGCAGCTGACAGTGCTGTGGTTGTGCATGGTTGATGTCTAACCATGCTGTGGTGACCGCCCTGTGAGGGTGTTGCAGCTGTCAGTGCTGTTCCTGAGCAGTCACTGGGTTAATCAGTATCTTAACATATGATGGGTTGCACCAAGCTGGGGCTCAGCAGCAGCATGAGGACAGAAAAGCTAATTTGAGTATTTCCCAGCAGCTCTAGGGTAGGGACAACCCGTTTTAGTTTGTCGCGTGTCTCATGCAAGATGCACAGCTTTTGCTTATGTCCTGTAGGGGTATTCTGCTCCCAAATGACCCCCTCCCTGATGATGTCCCCAGCAGATGCTGGAGAACCTGCTCTGTGGAAAGCATATGGGAGGAGGCCTGGGAAAGCAGAGCCTCCCACTGTTGGGGGCTCTTTTGACAATTTGTGATGGGCACCTGGATTATCTCCAAATCTCAGGTGTTTCCAGAATAGCTTCCTGTGAAGTTATGACATGCCACCCTTGAAATGCTGGTGGAACTGGCTTTGGGACATGGTATGGTCCTGATGACCTAAGTGGAGATGGTTCCCGTCTCCTTTCATCTGAGGTACCATCTGGAGCCACGCTTGTGGGGTTTTTTTCCCCATAAGGCTCTCAGAGTTGTGGAGGAATTTGAGTGTAGTCTTCCAAAGCCCATTTCACTAATTTGATCACAAAAAGCTTAAAACGTTTTGTTCATGGGTTATTTGGGCTCCACATGTTCTTCCAGCACTTTGGAGACCTGATGCCCCAGTGCATCCCCTGTGGGTGGTGGCCTTGGGTTGCTACTTGGCTCACCCTGCTCTTGTGGTCCCTGTCCCCAGCTGCATGAGGGAGAGAGTGTCCAGGACCATGGGTTGTCTGATTTGTATGTTGACATCTGGAAACCCAATGGGTTCATTCCTTGCTGTTTGATGGGTCTCTTTTCTATGGTGGCTTGAGTGGTGAAGGCCATCTATCAAGAAGGTGGAATTCCATCCTGGGCAGAAACTCTACGTTGGGGCCAGACCAGTGCTGCCTAAATACTGCCCTCAAGAACAACACTCTGATGTGATTGTGTGATGCTCACAAAAGGTTTTGTTTTTGTTTTGTTACCATTGCAGTGACAGCTATATTGTGCGAGTCAAAGCTGTGGTTATGACCCGAGATGACTCCAGTGGGGGATGGTTGCCGCAAGAAGGAGGCGGTCTCAGTAGAGTTGGCGTCTGCAAGGTCACATACCCGGAGGGCAATGGAAGAAGTGGATTTCTAATCCATGGTGAAAGGCAGAAAGACAAACTGGTAATAGACCCTAATTCAACTTTTGTCTGTTCTTATAATGAGAATTATCCCAAATCTATTGCTATTGTATTCTTTTGCAAGTTTTTTTAAAACATAAGAAATAGGCATGTGTAAATAGTACCAGGTTGGGCAAAACAAACCCATCCTCATGTAGAATTGACATCTTTTGCGATCTAGGGTGGTGTGCTGCCACCTGGAAGGAACAGGTAAATTTTTTACATCCATGTGCAAAGACACCCTTTGATGACTGAAAAAGGGCTGGTGTTTTTTTTTCTAAGATTTAGCCAGGGGTAAGTGAGAAGTGAATTGAAGTGTAAAGAACCCATGAAGCCAGTCACATTGTACTGAGTAATGCAGTGCAAGCCTTTAAAACAGCCATGAATTATTTATGCTGCGTGCCGCTCAAGGTTTGAACGAGCAGAGTGAGAATATGAAGACAAGTTGTCTCTTATGAATTGACGCACTCGGTTTCTCCTGGTAGCTGTTTATCTAAAAAGGAGCTCTTTCTTTCCCTGCACAAATCAAATCAATAAAGCCTTTTCCCTATTTTCAGGGTCCATTTTAGATGTTATAGTTTGTTGTCTCATTTCTATATATTTAATTCTTCCAAAATTTATTCTTGTGAAGAGATGGGCTAGCTTAAAAATACCGCTCCCTGCATGGGCTCCGCGAACTCAATGTTTTGGGGAAAAAAAAAAAGTATGATTTGAGTCGGAAATGGTCTTGCTTTCAAAAAGACTGGCGTTTTAAAGCTGTTCCAAGTAATTTCTTTTGCAATGTTCTTTTGCTTAGGATGCTTTTTTGGATGCTATTTGGGAGCCAAGCTTATGGTTTTGGGGGACAGAGTAAGACTAAGAAGCTGTTCCTGTTCTCCCTGAGCATCACCCTAGAGATGGTTTTTGACACAGTGGAGCTTCAGATGAGTGCCTGTCTGGGGGTGAGGGAGGAAAAAATGGTGAGGGGAGTGTTATAGCACCTCCTAAATCTGCTGTTAGTGGATAAAATTTATATTGAGCAAAATTATTGAGGGAAGAGGTTCTCCCTCTACCTGAGGCCCTGCTAGCTGTAACCTGTGCCACGCTGGGTCTGGGTGTGAAATAGGCTCCTGGGGTAGGGAGGAATCACCTACTCAAAGCACAAGCAAAAGATCAATGTGCAATGGTTGTGAGAACAATTACAGTGTCTGGTGTCTATTAGTCATCACTTGGTGGGGAAGGATGTTCCCCTACGCGAGGCATGACTTGGCTTGCTTTTGAGTCTGGGCTGAGATGGTGCCGGCTGTGTCCTTGGGGTGGGAAAAGTGACTTTGCTCCTCTTTTGGGGCTCACGCCCCTCCCAGGTGGTGCTGGAGTGCTTTGTGAAGAAGGACCTGGTGTACACGAAGGCGAACCCCACCTTCCACCACTGGAAAGTCGACAACAGAAAGTTCGGGCTCACTTTTCAAAGCCCTGCTGATGCTCGAGCCTTTGACAGAGGAGTGAGGAAAGCCATCGAGGACCTCATTGAAGGTACTGCGTTGGTGGCCATTTTGGCCCCTTGGAATGGGGTTTGAATCACAGAGCTGGGAAGAGAGATGGGTTTAAAATCTGTTCTTGGGCTTGGACATGTCTTGTGCATGTGTCAGAGTGTAGCCGGGCGCTTACCCTGCACTGAGCAAGTCCCAGCTTACTTTTAAGAACTTTCTTCTCATCCCTTAAGGAGAGAAGGGATTTTGATTCAAGTATTTTCCAATCCTGTCTGACCTGGTCTGTCCAGACTTCTCCCCTTAATTACAGAGTCTGTTATTACTGCTTCTTTTGATAGGCTGGGGTTTCACGCTAGCGATGGCAACTCAAGACAGCCCAGGCTCTTCTTTGTATGCAGCCAAATCTCATCTTACTGAGTCTTGGTTAAATCATAGTATGAATTCCTGTCTGGAGTTGAAGAAAACCTGGTTTTGTTTTTGTTTTGTTGGGTTTTTTTTATTTGCAGTAATTAGTTTTGTTTGCATCCTCTTAGTTAAGTGCTAGTTCTTGAAGTCTTTGTTGTGTTTTTGTTATTTTTAATTCTGTTAAAATGCATTTGAATTGCCTGTGCTTTGAAGTTGTCGTAAATTTTTTCTTTTCACATTTCATTGCAGTCAGGAAATTGTAATACAGCTATAGTTCAATGGTACTTTATTTTAATGAAATTTGATTCTTTGTGGGTTTTTCTGCTTGCTTTATTTATTTATTTAAGTCATGCCACTTTATGTAGGGACTTAGTGGTCCAAAGCCTTTCTCGTTTTCACATGGTGTGGCTGGGATATTTTTGTATACAGATGGTATTACTTTTTGAGGATACTGACTGAAATACATATACAGATGTGTACTCTTTTTGAGGACATGAGTTCCGTAAGACAGCTTAACATTCTGGATGCCCTGTCCTTGCTTTAACATGGACATGGTAGATACTGGGAGAGAATTAATCCCCCAGGGCTCTTTCCTGGTAAATACCTCAGCAGTTAGGGGAAGGATCTTCTCAACTAGTTATTCATTTGCTTTTTCCTGTACCATGAGTGTGAAGAAGTTACAGCAAGGCCTCCTGCTTTCTTCTTGCTTGCTAAAACTGGGAAGAATTTTGAGTCATAAAAGTGATGTTTCATGTAAGTGGCACTGGATTGTGCAAAGTTTCAAGGAGAAAACTCAGCTGTACTGAGTAGTGTTTTGGAGATGTTGGTACATGGCAGCTCCTGTTCTGCTCTTTCTGATCCATTTTATAGTGGGGGTATTTAAAATCAAGTTCTCCTGTATCTCAGATACTTCAAAATCAGCAAATCTATATTTATCCCATTGACAACACAGACTGATCCTCATGAATGTGTTCCTCCTTAACTTCCAAATAAGGCTTTCTGAATGAAAAACAATAACTGGCTCGTGCACACACAGCGTCGGGCAGTGAATTTCATTTATCATTCATTTTTTCTTCATGTAGTTGATCAAATTTAGCAGGTTGTATTAAGCACAACTTCACTTCATGAAATTGCTGCTTTATTATTAATATTTAACTGATAGTTTGTTCCCTGTAGCATTAGGGACGGTTTGAGCAGAAGTACAGGAAACCTATGCAGCTCTGTAGAGCATCTGGATTTTCTACTTTTAAAGCTAATGTAGCAAATGGCACAAATGTTTTCACATTACTTAAAACGCTAAGTGGGCTTTCGCACTTAGCTCTGCACATCTTTGTGATGATGCAACTGAGAGCAGCCAAGGCTGGTGCAGATAGCATTATATAAAGCACAGTATTTTAGAAAATTTCCAGAATGAAGGTGGTACAAACTGTTCAACTATTTTAGTTAGGGATGTGATGTGGCCCTACTTCAATATAACAGTAGGCTTATGTAAAAAAAAAAAAAGGGCGGGGGGTGGGGCAAAAAAGCCTTTGACTTGGGGTTTCTTCCCCCATCAGAGCATCTTGCTGCACCCACTCTCCTTGGCAGCCTCATGGAGGGTGAAGCCAGCCAGGAAGGCGGTCCAGCATCCTTGGCCAGGGGTAGGGAGAGGGGTCACCCCCTTTTAGCCACAGCATAAATTTGCTGCCGAGTCCAGTGATGGCATGTGTCACCCTCCCCACTGCCCTTCTGCGATGAGGGTGCTGACCAGGCTCTCGAGCAGCTCCAGAAGGGGACATCTGTGGAGGGTGGGGAAAGAGATTGGAGGAAGTTTTTTTTGATGTAGTATCCCACTTTTCCAGACAATTGCCATGTAGTTAATGAGAACTGCACCTCAGTGTCTTGCTCTTTCTTGTCTATGGTTTTACATGTTTCAGCTCCTTTCAAATACTTCGCTTACGTGGGGCAAGGTAGTTCTCTGAGAAGTAGCTGGTAACAGAGAAGATCTTTATAATATATAACAAATTCCAAAATTAGAAGAAGAAATAAACCAATTCTTTGTTGTCAAAGTGAGGTTTGGGTTTTTTTGAGTAAAAAGTCATTTTTCCTCCTAGATTTAGGGAATACGTGAAGGGTAACTCATTTGGTTTCTTGACAGCTGAGGATCTGTTCTTGAGCACTGATTAGTATGTAGTTCTACCATTCTTTAGAAATGAAAGTCTTCTGTAATTGGAAATGATAACTGCTATTTTTAGCATAGTTAATTAGCATTGCAGCCATGCAGTTGCGTGGCAAGAAACACTTGCAGATTTTACCTTTCCAACCCAGCTACCAGTAGATGGTTTTTTTCTTCCTTAATTTGAGCTGCTCTCTTACAAATGTTTACCAGCCTAATAAAAAAAAAAGGTGCATAGAAATGTCATGTGTTTAAAAAGCTGTTGTTTTTTTTCCTAGGGTCTACAACTTCCTCGTCAACGCTTCACAATGAGGCTGAGGTTGGCGATGATGATGTCTTCACTGTAAGTACATGTCACCTGAGGTCCTTCTCCTTTATGGTCAAGTTGGAAAGGGTTTTTCTTTTTATACCTTGAGGTTGGCTTCCAGCTGTCATAGTGTTTGGCCAGTGGGTGTGTTTTGTTTGATGGAAGTGTATCCTCTACAGAATTTAAAGCATTGGGTTTCTGTTGGCCTCCCGTCGCCACGTGAAAAGCATGGCAAAGCAGATATTGTCAGGCTAGAAGTAAGCAAATAACAACTCTCAAATTTCCTATGGCTTGATCTGAATGATGCACACACCTCTTAATACCTCTCTGTCTGTCCTTAAGAAGCTTCCCACAAGCTAGAGTAGATGGCTGCTACTCAGGTGCCTACTCAAGGAAATGAGATTTTGAATCGCAGTTATTAGCAAAAGCCAGCTTTAAAGGTGTTTCACGTATGCATGAAACATAAAAAGTTCAAACAAATGTTTTTCAGCTGGAGGAAGGCACAGTAGCATGCCATCTACCTAACCAGTGGTGACAAGTAGGAGTGAGTTGCTCGTATTTAATTCATGGTAATGTCTAAAATGTATTTTGGGCTTTTTTTCTGGAACAGAAGAAGCTACTGTCCCTGCTACACTTGCATGTTTTAAAAGGGGCGGGGGGGGATTGTAATCCAATCTTGGATATTCCATGGGCTGAAAACAAAGACACTTACAATGAGTAAATTTATTTTCTTATCTCTGATCACGAACCCCCATGCATATGCATTGAAATACCCTCCTTGTCCTGCAGTGCAGGTTGGGACTGAATGGCATGAGGGTGGAAAGTGGGATGTCCTCAGCAAACTCAAAGCTGTGTTTGGGATGCTTCCCTGCATCTTTAGGGTGAACAAGGGAAAACTGAGGACCGTCATCAAGCCATTTGAAAATGGGCACCGGGAAACACAGAAAGCTGAAAGGTGGTTTTGAGGGTGATGTTTCACTGGTATGGAACCAGGGCAGGTTCCCTGCTGCATTTTGACCAGATCCTCCTGACGGCTGGCATGTTGTCCGCATCTGTCCTTCTGTCACGGCTCCGGGAGACAAACAACAGCAGGCAGGGTTAAAAGGTGACTTCCTGCGCTCCGCAGCAAAACTATCATTAGCAGCTGCTTCCCAGCTACCTGCCAGAAGTGATTTATAGGCACTGGGATGGGACGGACCGGGGTGGAGGGAGGCACTGCTGGAGCCAGAGCGGTTTACCAATTTGTGCTGTTTTGTCTCCAAATCACCGGGTGAGCTGTGCATTGCTGGGAATGGATGGTCGTGCTCGACGTGCATGCGGCTCTTCTGTGCTTGTCAGAAAGGGGATGACAGTCAAAATGTGCCTTGGACAGGGGGTAGTCAGCTCTCACTGGATTAGACGTGGAATACTCAGTGTTAAAGCAGTGAAGAGTAGCCTGTGGAAATAGGAAAGGATATTTTTCTAAAATCTGACTGGCTGACCTTTAGGGACCTGGGAGTGCTCCTGCATTTCTCCGCAAGCTCAATCTTGTGGTTAAGTGTTGATTTTTTTTAAGCTCATAGGGTGCTTTTTACTATGAGGAAGAAGTTGTTGCCTTTAAGGAGGTGTTGCTTTATATTGGGAAAGTTGGACGAATGGTGCTCCAGCTGCATCAGAATCACTCGAACTCCTGCATACAAAGTGAAGGGCCGAAACTGCGAGAGATTCTTTTCCCCCCTTACTTGACCCTGGGGAGGTGACAGATAACCCCCTGCTGTGCAGATGTTTATGGGTAGGATGCTCAGTGGAGAAGGAGGAACAAGCTACTCAATAGCATTAGCAAAGAGGGAAACGTCAGCTGCAGTCAGCACCTTGTTGGGATCCAGGGGGGGTGTTCACACCTCGAGTTGTGCCCTGCCTGTCAGCTCTTTCTGCATGTTGCGTCATCTCTGGAGTGTGAGAAGGTCTTCACCGATGGTGGTAGCTCACACGGTGCTGTTGGTCAAGCTGTCGCATCAGGGCGGGTGCGTTGTCATAGTCCAAGAAAAAAAAAAAAAGGCTTTAGCAGCATCCTTTTCCCCAATATTTCTTCTTTGCTTTCCCAGGATGAAGTCTCTCCTTTTCCTGCAGTCCTTAAGCTCTTTGAAGCTCTCAACTTCCCATTTATCTGGTAGGTGATGGTGGAGTATGAAGTCTGCATAATCCAGAAATAACAGACTTGACGCATGGAGGGGTTTTAGACTGGAAGAAATGGATAGGGCTGTGATATGCTTTATTTTTACCCTTCTGTCTCTTTCTTTATTTGCACTTCTTTTTGACTTGTGTATCATATTCTGTTTGGTCATTCTTGTACACACAACTTCTTTACAACTTCCCTGTAAACTCTTTTCCCCAGCCACAGCAGTGAATTTTTCAGGTTTGAGTGGGGTTTTTTTGCTCTGTTTTAAAGAGAAAGTACATTTGTTCTTTTTTATTTCCTAGGGTAGTTATTAAAATCTTCACAGTCCTCCCCCTCTCCCACACATGCATGAATAAACTTCACTGCGTGCAGCAGAATTTTCAAAAGCATCTGCATGATTGAGTCATTTAATCAGTCATTTACCCATCTCTGAAAATCCCAGCCGTCGCTGCTACACTGCTGCCTCAAATATTTGGCCTGAGGTCCTGCCTCTCCTTGAAGATATTTCAGTCTGTTCAACCACAGTGGTCTAAAATGTCACATTTCTTGCACTACTTTGCAGATGGCCACCCGGACTTTGTCTTGCATGTCAGCACTGGTGTTGGCACCAATGTAATGGTACCAGCTTAAAAACCAACCATTCTCATTACATATAAGCACTGACCCTGATACGGCTGTTGGATATTGATTGACACAGGGCTTTTATGTGGTCCCTGATCCTCTAAACGTCAGGACTGCTCCATGGGATGATGACTTTGTGCATATTTTTGTGCATACAACTTGTACATCATCTGTTTCGTTTATTCGTCGCCCAGCACGCAACCCTTCCAGGCATCCAGCAAGTTATTTGCATGGCAAAGAAAAGGTTTGCCCCAGAGGCAGAGCTCTCCCTCAAGCTAGTATCTTGTGCGGCTCAATGAAGGATCATTTTCTTGTACCAGAAGGTGGCTTTTTTTTGTTTTTAAGGGGGTAAATTATCTGCAGCTTGGATATGTGAGCATTTGCTTGAGAAGCATTGCTGGTGTTAGTAGCCTTATCTCTTCCCATCACCATAACTTACAGTTCCAAGACCGTGACCTGGGCAGCAGTACCTTGCCCCATCCCTATGGCATATGCTCCCCATCCATCATTCTGAAGCATGGGTTATATCTTTAAAAATGGGACTTTGCCATCTAATAAGTTTCCTGTGGGTTAGTCCTGCAGCAATTAGATGAATTGATACAAACCTCTGCTCTGAAATTCATGCCTGACAGGGCAGAAAGCAAAAGTGTATAGAAATAAATGTCGCTGACTTGAGGGAATATGCTTATTTCTTAAATGAAATCTCCATTTAGAAGCTTTAACAATATGTAGTTGTGTTTCTTTAATTCCAGATTCTCAGTAGAGCCCATAAATGTTTTCCATATGTTAGCAAATAAATTTCTCCTGTCTTGTACATTATAAATCGTCCTCTCAAGAGATGCAGTCTGAGTAAGACTAGCCATCCGTTTTTTCTCCACTGGGGGAAACGTTGTCTTTGCAATGGTCTGAGGTTGTTCTGTTTGTCTTCATCCATCCAGCCTACATCTTCAGCCTTCTTTAATTAACATTCATTTCAGAAATAACGTTTAATAAGGACTGAATATATTCTGTAGTTCCTGAACCACAGAATTTGCCATATAACTGAGTTCTTGCACAAAATTTTTTCCTGAATTTACACTTTTACTTTCAATTACAGATAATAATCCCACATGACTGTGAAGTGAAAAACATGAATTGAGTCCAAGGAAAGAAAGGTCAATGTCTTCCAGAGTCTGCAGAATGCCTGAAGTGTTCTTTTAGCATCCCATCTGAAAAAGCAGAGGTGTTCTTCTGAAACCTTATGATCGGTTCAGCTGAAAGCCCGCTCGTGTGTTTTTCAGATAAATCCGCAGCCTTGTGCCTGCTTTAGCGCTAAAGAAAAGACACCCACTTGGCAGGAGGAGCAACAGCTCTCATGTCAGTTGTCATTTGTGAACCTAAAAATGACTGCAGTCTTCTAGGTTAGTGGGAATGTGAGGGAGAAAACAGCAAAACCCAGCCTTACTAAGGTGGATATGCATGTTACAATCATAGCTGTTTCATGTAATCGATAGTAATTTTTAAAAATCCTAGGTTTTGTTCAAAATGAGACTTGAGGAATTTTGCAGGTAGAGCAGGCATGATCTAAATGTGCACAGCTGAGCTGCAGGGTTGCGTTTCAAGATGCTTAGGCTCGAGCCATTGCTTCTCTTTCAGACTCCTGGCTAAAAGCCTGTTTGCCTCTGTTCCCCAGCTACAAGACAGGGAAAATATTCTCCTGCTTCACTAAAGTGATGTGGACAGATCTTGTGCCACCACTTTTCATCTGTGTGCAGGGTCCTGGTGCTGGGGCTCACACTGGGCTTCCAGCAGAAGTCTTCAGCCTCATGTTTTCACCATGAAGTTGTGTGTTTGGAGCGATCCTGCACCCTTCGTGCCTTTTTCTCAGCATGAACGTGTTCTCCTGCGCTCGGGGATGTTTGGGTTAGGAAGTTTGTCATGTGGCTTGGACGCTGCTGACAGTCGTTCAAGAGAGACACAATTACCCATTCTCCACTGTAGCAGTGCAGATTGTGGCAGATGTTAATGTTACAGTCCTTCTTGCATCTCTTCTGGCTTCCTAATTAAAAAACCAGATTTCTCCCTGCTGCCTTACCATGAAACCTTTTCCCTACTTTTCATCTCCCATGTGGGCCTCAAGCATGTTACAGCCTCACTATTAAAATTTATAAGATTTATGTCACTTAGATAAACAGTAAATCTAATTTTTCTTGCTAGCTTGGTCATTTCATGTTCAGATGGTTCTTTTAAAGAATGACTGTAGTTCTTTTCCTTTAAA